ATATATATATATATATAAAAAAATGAACCTGCTTGCAGCAGTCTCCTGCATCCCAACCACAGGCTCATGGTGTGTTTGCTTTTCTGGGCGAGAGCTATCTGTGGAGCAAGGGCCAGAGGAATGTTTTTTGGTCTCTGCCACCACTGACCATGCATGGGGAAGTCCCTTCCCATCGCATGACTGGTGGTGCTGGGACAGGAATAGAGGTGGTTAACAAAAGTACAGGTCGCAAACCATACCCTCAAGTGCTAAGTGTGGGAGCGTTTTGAGTTCCCCTCTAGCTACTGCTTTGGATAGATGAGTCGCTCTGTTGTTCGTAACCCAAGTAGTGTCAGGATCTCCTTTTCCCATCACCTTAAGACCATCTTTTCTCTGTCCTAGGGACTGACGTTTGAGGAGGTGGAGAGCTTCTTCACTTTTCTGAAGAACATAAATGACGTAGACACGGCTTTGAGCTTCTACCACATGGCTGGAGCTTCGCTTGATAAAGGTATTAAAACCTGTGAGATAGACAGGTGCTGAAAGCTTGAGGGAACACGACTCATACCATGTCTTCGGAGTTGGGAAGATGTCAAGCAAGCCCAGGCTGACAGATTAAAAATGTACCAAAATCGCAGTTCCTCCCTGTAATGAGAGGCTGAACTTGCTACGTCCATGGATAAAGAGGGATTTCAGGTTTTATTCTTCCCCAGTTAGATGTAGAGGGGGAAAAAAGGCTGAAATGTATAGCCTGCGTAGATTAGGAAGTGGTGCTATCTTTAGCAGGCCTGTTCAGGCCTGATGCGCGCAGAGACAAGATGATGACCTAGTGAGTGTATCACAGGCTCTGGTACCAGATCCCAGGCACACCAGTTGTATTTCTTCATCCCCGTCTTCTGAAGTGACTTTTTTTTTTCCTCCTTTTATAAAGAACTTGAAAAATTATTGTTGGCAAAGACAAGCAGCATTGTAAGAAGTATTCTTGCAAACTGTATCTTCTGTAGAGGTCTCTCTGACACAGCAGAGGCGCTAACCAGCAGTGGAGCTGGTGGCAGGAAATGTTCAACCCTTGTTTTGTTTCAGTTTTGCTTAAAAACAACAGGCTTTGTCTAGAAATGAGAGCTGTTTGGCCAGATGCTGCATTTGTGATATGAAATCCAAGTAATGGCAAGCACCTTCAGAGCTCTTGGGTGTGCTGGAGGTAAGGAGGGAGAGCACTGGAACCCCCCTGAGGTCCCAGGCTAAGCATTAAAGTCTATCCAGAGCAGGTTCTCTTCAGATAAGACACAGTCCAGAGTCTGCATGTGGGCAGAGGAGCTGGCTGAATAAACCTCAGAGCTGTTGTTTCCTGGGGAGCTTGGTAATAGTGTGGTTTATCGATCAGACCAATCCATATCCTTCTCCATCTCATTGTGTGTTTCAGATTTCTGAGCTAATCCATATCAGGTATCTTCTCAGATCTGACATACTTATTTTTAAAAAAAAAAAAAAAAAAAAAAAAAAATCCATATGTTAAAAAAAAAAAAAAAAAAGGAAAAAAAAGTCCAGTGCTCTGCTGCCAGGATCTGTCACAACTGTGTGCTTTTCTTTTCTAGATCTTTTTTTAAGAGTTGTTATTTTTAAAACACTCAGACTGGAAATATTAAAAAAAAAAAAAAAACACACCAAAAAAACCTAATGGCAAACTCATTAAGAGTTTTTTAGGCCAAGTGGAAACTCTTGTCTACTATAAAGTTAAAGCTAATGTACTTAGGCAGCTGCAAAATTAAATGTTTGGGAAGTAAGCAATTCTCCTGACTGTAGCTGTTGTGGGAAGATTAAGACATTAATAGGTCTTTGGCAGTGGAATTACAGAGGGAGTCAAACATGTCGCATTGCTTCTTGTGTGTGTCAGCAGCCCCCCTCAACTTTGATATCTTGGGGGAAATAATCTGTACTCATTGTTTTAGATCACCGTTATTTTAAGACTTAAAGTTACCAGAACCTGATAGGATTTTCTTTCACTTGAAAGTAAAAATATGAAGTCCAGATGTGCTGCTGCTGCCCAGAGCCCTTTCTGTAGTGCCCCACGAGGAGGTAAGAGCCCAGCAAATCCAATTCATTTGGTGTCTACAGCAAATTAAAAATTGTCCTGTCATGGAACATGTATTTGTGGAGGGTTTAAGTGCACGTGCAGTTGATAAATCAGTGTGATTGCTGTTTAATTATGTGTGATTAACGAGCTTGTGCTGGAGCCACAGCCATGGAGCTGGGAGTATTTGGCTGGAGTAAGGTGCAGGGCATGGCTTCAAACCGATCACAGGCTCAGCTGTCCCCAGACCCCTGTCCCAGCTGTCGGGAGAGATTTCCTTGGGCTCACGTAGAAGAGGAGGATTGTCCTGCAAATCATCTCTTTGTGTGTGTCTGGTAGCTGACAGGAATCACCACTTGCGTCATCCTGTGCTGCTCAACCCAGATATGCTCTGGGCAGGAGGCACAAAGAGAGCGTCCTGCTGTGGTCCTAACGAACGTGCAAAGCAAGCTGCAACGATACACCTGGGGTTTGCAGCAGGGATCTGTGTGCTCCCATGCCTAAATTGTCTGCGCGTTACCCATTTCCATATGCATGCACTCAGAGTCTGGATATTGCACCCACAAATCAAATAAGCAATAAATAGGGTGTACTCTTCCAAAAGTCAAGCTTTCACAAGGTTGCTTATTAAAAACCAATAAATGTAAAAATTACTCATCATATGGGGAGGAAGAAGAGGATAGTTTGTATAGCAAATAAATTGCCGCTAACCTAATGCGGCAAACGTTATTATAATTTTAGAAGGGCAGTTTAAAATTTAAGAGGAAAAAAAATGGATGACACCTAACAGCCATAGCTTGACAACCTGTTTTCTGTGTTGAATTCAAGTAGCCTCTTTTTCTAAAAAGGGTCATAAACTTGTATTTTAATGACCCATAAAATAACACACAGATTATTTGTTAGTCCATCTTTCATTTTACAAGAAACATAATAGCTATCATTCTCTTAAATCATAAGCATTACTTAGAAAACTTCCCCAGCTTGGGCTTACAGCTGGTGGCAGCAGGACAGGAACCGAATTCGTTGCTTATTCCCCTTTCGAGGCCAGGCTGTGATTTGCACTTTTTTTTGGCACCATCTGCAGCCAGACTTTCCAAGCAGCCATTCTGCTGGCACCGGCAGAGAGCCATGGTGTAACTCCTTTGTGCTTTAGGGCAAGGCACAGATACGTTTTGCTAGAGCTGGGCCAAAGTGAAGGGAGATGGCTGAGCCTACTGCTCGGAGCGGGGCTGGAGCCCAGGAGGGGTTAATGGAAGACCGTTTTATTTGAAGTGTGGAGTTCGAAATGGCTGTAGATTGACAGGAAATTTGGAAGGTAGTAGAAGTGAGTTTTGAGCACAGCACATATTTGTCATTGAATTGCTGCTTGCTTTCATCTGCCTTCAGAGCTAGATGAAAGAAGTTGGTGCCCCATGGAGGCACAACTCAGATCGCTCCTCTGGAACAATGGCATGTAGTCAATGCTGGTAATTCAGTGGGGAGGACTTCTGTAGGGTTGGTGAGGTTGGCAGGGATCTCTAGAGACCCTCTAGTCCAACAGGGTCACCTACAGCAGCTCTCCCAGGGCTGCTTCCAGTCAGGTTTTGGATATCTCCAAGGCTGGAGATGCCACAGCCTCTCTGGGCACGTAAGAAAGCCTGGATGATTCTTTGCAATAATTTGTGAGAAGTGTCGAATGACGAAATCTGGTGTCCTGCAGAGGCAAGTCAGGGTCACGGGATGTCACCGTTGCTGCCCTCACACCAGTGTGTTGGAGTGTGCGTGTATGTATGCATCCTGATGGAGAGGGACCGTGGAAGTGCTTGGCAGCGTGTCCTCAAGCAGGAGGGGTCTGGAGCTCGCCTGCCCTTCGGTTTTAGTACTTGCACAATTACGGTGCAGTGTTTGCTGAGCATTAATGCAATGACTTGTTGGGCAAAGCTCTGTCACAGCAGAGGATGCCTGTCCACAAGGCTTTATGAAATCAGCTTGGTAATCCTGAGACAGGCTCTCCATAGATCAACAGCCCCTGGAAGATGCTTTCAATTTAGAAACCATTTTCTGTGTTGCTATCTCCTTTCTTTACTTACTTATGACTGTGAATATTACATAAATAGTGAGTCGGCTCTGCCTTTGGTCTGGTAGCTCTTCTTTTTTCCCCAGAATTGTGATCTCCATGACTTTCCGTCATGCTCCCTTTGGTGTCAAAACAGCTTCTACTCAGCTGCAGGGCTGCAGCCTCGCATTTTGAGAAGAAAAAGAAAAATGTGCTGTGCCACAGGATTGCATAGGGTTTGTACATCTCTCTTCTGGGTGAATATTCTGATACGTACACATGCAAATGTTTGGAAAAAAGCTAAATAGGTTTTCTCCTAGCTCTGTTGTCAGTGATAGCATCCAACGTTTCCAACTGGGATGCTTAAAATGAAACATGCATATCAATGTGAGACTAAGTAGCCTGATTTCTGGGAGCCCAAAATAAAGACGTCCTGCCTCTGCTGCCTGGGACTGCCCAGGGCAGGGAACCCTGCTCCTGTCACCCTGGATGCCATTCAGGAAATGAAGGCAGCAGCTCACACGCCCATTATTTTAGCCAAATGTGTGATTAATCTCAAGATGGAGGCCAAAAGTCAAGTTTGCCACCTGGCCAGGCTCTAGCCCATAGAAAAGCCCTGTTTGTAAGCACTTGGTGAGGCGTTACTCACAGTGCAGTTTTGGGAAGGGGGGTGAAAAAAAGGTAACAACTGTGTCAGACACTGAACTTCCGTAAGATAACTCAGATGATTCATTAAAGGAACCAGTGGGAGACACTAACACTTGAAATTTTAAGAGCCACATAGCTTTTCAAGATAGAAACTTGGAACTAATTTTTGGTGGTATAAAATGCAGGAGGCTTTCCTGTGTTGAGATGGATGCAGCCATCCCAAATCCCCAAATCTGGACAAGCTTTTTTTTAGATGTTTCGCCAGACAGCATCTGTTTCATTTTGGAAAATGGTAACGAAATTTTATTTGCCTCACCAAGATACCTCGTAGTCTGAAGCAAACAAAGAGTTTCCACAGCCTAAAAAACTTAATGAGTTTGCCATTGGGTTTTTTTTTGTATTCCCCTTCTTTATGATTCCTTAAAACCCAACAAAATCGTTACTGAGCACAGCACCGTCACACAGCTCCTATGAAATAACATTTTTGCAGAATTTTTGCATCAAGCAAGAACAATGTGATGGAGACGACATTTGCACAGTTGGATTAGTAAGAGAGGAGGCAGTAAGTACAAATTACAGCTGGTAAAACTGCAGCTGTGAAAAATAAATGTGCGCGCGTGGAAGAGGAGGGAGGGATCAGGCGACACCCTGTAGAGATGGGAGGAGGTAAAAACTCAGCAGAAAAGCATGACTTGTAATTAAAGAAATCATTCTAACTTTTTTTTCCATATAAGACTATAGCAAATAACTTCTTCAGTAAGGTACCTGGGGCACCAGGAGAGGATGGTATCAAAGCTTGGTGTTGAGCACCTTTAAAGAAGATTTACATTTAAAAGGAGTTAAATTAAATTCAGTGTTGCTATCTGAGGAAATACAGATTTGCTTTTGCTGTCTGAAGGTCTGGGTCTCGGGTAAGAGACAGCTTACAGTACTTAAAACCTGTGCTGTGGCCAAAGCTGAGGTGTTTTAAGTGCCTCCCCAGCAGAAGGACTTTCTGGGTAAAAAAAATAAGTTGAGAAATAAGTTTAGATAAACTTTTTTACCTAAACCTCTTCTTTTTCCTTGAGCTTTACACATATTACTGAAGTCCCCCAGCAGCGCATGGGGCAGGTAGGAGTTATAGCATATGTTTTGCAGCTGGCTGGAGCCAGGACTGTATTTAAGGAATGAGCATCACCTAATTGGGGAGGAGAAAGGTGATTTTTACAAAACCTATACAAAATCCAGAGGCAGGACGTTTATCTTGATGAAAAGGACTATGCCATCCACTGTTCTGCTGTGGTGTTTGCTGCCACTTCGTGTTAGTGGAGTTTGATTAAAGAGGACCTATAAATCCTGTATTAAACCTGTGCAATTTATAGTCACCCTCTCCTCTGGTTTGGGGTATGTGTGATGCTGGCCATCCTTCCTGCCCTCTCGGGTCAAGGGGAAAAGCTAAAAGCAGCTTTGTCATTTAATTTGGAAGCATTTGATGTCAGTGTGAGCTAATTAAATGGTGGACCGTTAAAGCCCTTTTGGAGGGCTGCTGCCATCTAATGCGCCCGCTTGCTTGTGTTGCAGTTCATTCATTTGATCGTGTTGCATCTTTCTGGCTAATTTGTGCGCATTCAGAAGAGAGCCAAAATTAAATGGGATGCATAGATGTGGTGGCTGTCCATGTGCTTAAAACGTGAATTCCCCCATTTCCTTTGCTATCCAGGTTTTCTTGAGAGCTGCAGCACGGTATATTCTGCAGCCTGGTTGGCGTGGGTGGGCTGGGAGAGACATGTGGTCTCCCCACGGCTAGGCTGGCAAAATTTGGGCGTAAGGCTAGGGAACAAAATTAATTCAAACTTTCTTCAATGATTACATTGCCCCTGCCTTCCCCAAAGCAGGCTGTGGCTGCCAGCAGGACATGCACAGAAGCAGCAGCCGTATCCTGACTTACAGTGACAGAACTGAAATGAGTAATAACTGCAGACAGAGAGCTAATTCTCTCATGTAGGAAAGGATTTTAACTCAAAAAGAATAATTCCAAGGAAAGAGCAGGTGCCTACTTGAGATTATGTTTTTTAATATTTATTTTAATCCATCTTCTGCTTAATTTCTGTTTTCTCTTGCATTATTAATAAAAGGAGGGAATTTAGAGGGGAAAAGTGGATGGTGGCTGTGGATTCCTCCCTGAAAATGCCAAACCTCACTCAGGGGAGCAGAAATGGCGTGGAAGGAACTAGTAATCCGGAAATTCATGGGAAAAAAAATCCTATTAGAAACTGTATGCCGTTTCTAATTAATCTGGTTACGGTATAGATTGGGTGCTTATTTTTTCCTTTCTGACACATAATTCTTCAAATTTTCTGAAGGGCCAATAGGTCTGCAAAGGGACCAGAGTGCATGAAGCCAGAAGAATGCTGTGGATGAAAGCAGAGGCTTTTTTTTTGTTTGTTTCAATCTGTGCCGCTTCCCTCTTTTGCCTTGCTGAAGGGGAGCTCTGCAGCTAAACATTCATCCCAGTTGCTGTGGGCTCGCTGCCACGGTGCAGTCTCTCCAGATGGGGTTTCTCAGGTCAGACTTTGTAGGGGAGCAATTTAACATAAAATATGCTCACGTTCATGCAAAGCCCTTCTGTTTTATCAGGTATCTGGAAGGGAGCAGGGTGTTTCAGCCCTGACAAACGGTGATAACTGAGCTACTCTCAACCTCCCCTCCCTTCCTTCAATTAGCAGCTGTCAAAGGGAGACCAGAGGG